GTTTTTGGATGTTTGTAAAGCGCAATATGCTTTTGCTTTTGATTTTGATCATAAGGGAAGCGGTTGACTGAGCATTAGACTGCAACGAATTGAATTGTTCGGAAGCTCAAATGTAAGTGCGTTCTTAAAAGATGTGTATAAATTACCCACAGGTCCCATGTGGAACATGTGGACACCATTTAATCCCATAACTTTTTGAGTACACCCAAAAGTCCTTTCCTCTCTCTCTCTCTCTGTTTTTTGCTTCCCTTCCTCTCTTGTTTTTTTTTTCTGCATTTTTCTCTCATCACCTTTGTCATGGACGACGACCGGTGATCATGTCTTTCTCCATTGATCGGGGTTCACTGATAACCGCCAATCATCGAAATCAACTCGTGACTTCACTCTCACCGACGACGAAGATAATATACTTCCGACGAAGAAGATGATATATTTTCGACGAAGAAGATGAGTGGATGTACTTAGATCTGATGTAGATCTACTCAAATCTACATCAGATCTAAGTAGATCTACATCAAATTTGGCTAGATCTAAACAAAAAATAGTTGCTGGATTACAATCCTCTCTCTACATGCGCCTTTCTCCTTCGATCTCTGTTTTTTTTTTCTCTGCTATACACTTCTGTTTTTCTGTTCTAATGGAGAAAATTTTCGAATTCTGAACAAGTAGTTTTCGAGTTTTAGTTACAGGCGGTGAAAACTGTAAAGTTTTGCAGTTTCAAATTTTTTTGGTGCTGGAATGAATAAAACTGTAAAATTTTACAGTTTCATAACATGTTTTTCAGTTTGATTAATAAGGATAAATGCTTAATAGATTTTTGTTTTGAAACTGTAACATTTTACAGTTTCAAAACTTACTTTTCAGTTTGATCACTATTTAGAGATTATTTGCTTGAACTTTACAAAAATTGAAAAATAACATATGTTTTCCCTATTGTTGCTGTTTTTTGTCGTTTCATTTTTTTTCCTTTTAGTTTATCAATATTTAGCACATTTTGCTATGTTTTTTTTGCTATAATTTATCCTTTTTTTTTCTAGCAATATTCTAGATATTCCGGTGAGTCTCCAGTGATGTTCTTAACGTCCAGTGAACGTTCTGAACATTCCGGCGACTTCCATTAACGTTCTTAACACTCCGGCGAACTTCCGGCGAAACTCCGGTGACTTCCCGGTGATACTCCGGCGACTTCCCGGCAATGTTGAACATTCCGACGAGTCTCCGGCGACCGTTTGATGAAAGTCCTACGGTTGTAAGATGTGAACAGTGTCTGTAAATTAAAAAAAAAAGAGAAAGGATTTTTTGGTAGCAATTAAAAATGTATTGGACTAATTGGTGCAAGTATTTTGTTTTGGGATTAGCTGGGTTTTGAACTTGATACATGGGACTTATCAGTAAGTTCCCCAAATTTTTCTTAAAAGATGGATGTTATTGAATGTTTATTATGGCCATTTTAATTTAGGATATAATTGTTATTAAATTAAAATTTCATTAAATGTGTGTCCTAAGTTAATTAAATGTGTGGAAATAGAATTTCCCAACATTTTGGTACATCTATTTTTCCCATTCTTTAAGCCAATACCTGGAATTGGATGCCTATAAATCTTGTATTTTTTTTCCTCCATCCCTATTAGTACTATAATCTGACATTTCTTATGAATTCCTTTTCCAATAACCATTTAAATTTTTTTAATGAACATTTAACATTCATTTATCTTATTGGATGCTATTTGATAACTCAATTCCATACTTAAAACTTAATGTAGCAAATGAAAATGAATTAAATTTATTTTTTTTATCAATAATTAAATTCATTTGATAATCACAATTCGCATCACTTTCAAGTATTTTTTAAAATATTAATTAAAAATTGAGAAAATTTTAAATAGTAGGATTTTTACTTAATGTTGATTGAATTTATGTATATTTATGCACAAATATCGACACGCACCTTCATAACTTCCTTGCTCCCACCACTGCCACCGTCGCAACTATTGCCACGACCACTACTTCTTTACCAACACTACCACTATCAGTACCATCACCTTCATCACCAATGTCATGGTCACCTTAAGTACCATTATCATTTTACTACCTGGCCACAACCATCACGGTTGCCTCTCCAATTATCACCACCACTATTCCAACTACCACAACGGTTCGCCTCCACCACAATTGGCATAACGACTCTAGCCACTATCATCGCTAATTTATATATAACCCTTTAAAATCCCTTCTCTAAATCAATTTGAAAACAATAAAATCGAACTATAGTATATAGTCCATTTCGGTTTCTCAATCAATAAAACCGAAATCAAAAAGCTCAGTTCGATACTAAACTTTCCCTTACACCCTTTTTGATGATCATTCTTTCAAGAAATTATCAAATAGGTTACAAAGCATGTGCCATTTCCCTAGTGACAATGCACCAATCATATTTATCAATTCGATATTGATTTTACAGGAAATTACTATTTAGGATACTTTTTGAAAAATGATTAAACATTAGTGAAAAATGTTATAATATTTATATTATTTCTCACCCATTTATAATTATTTGTCACTGACATCACTAAAATGTATTAAGTCCCTAATTTTCGCCTCACTTCCTCCTTCACGTTTTTCACAATGCAGGCATGTTCAACATATGCAACTATTTGCATTTATAAAAACCTTACTCAAGTTTAGATTGTGATTAGCTCAATTAAAATTGTTAGTTGGAAATATTAACAAATCAAATTTAAAAATATTTTAAAATTAATTTAAATATTTTCCTTGTAAATGGTGAGGGCATCATCAATAACATAACCATTAACAGTCCAGAGAGAGGGAGAGAGCATAGCCCCTTCTCTAGGTGTTTTTCGGTGATACTTCGGTGGTTCTCCGACAATATTTTGGTGATCTATTTTACACTTTTAAAGTGTAGATCTACACTCCTAGACTATAGATCTACAATTTTAGAGTGTAAATCTGGACTTTTTATATTTAAAATAAGGATTGAGAGTTTTCTCTTTCGATTTTGACAGAAATTTTTGAATTTTTGACACTCATAATGGTTTCTTCCTCTCTCAAGCCTTCTTCCATACCATTGTAGATATACTTCCTTCTCAGGAAGCAACGGTGGCGGAGTTGGGCAGTAGCGACGAGGACGGTGGACTTTCAAACAGATCTTGTTTTCTAGATCATATCTTTAACTATATCGATGATTCTTTCTAGATCGTTTTTTTTTTTTTTG